ATATAATGGTGTTTTGAAAATTTATTGCCTACCTAAAGGACAGCAGTGGTTTTCTTTTAGCAAAGCAAGACATCAATGTTGTTGCCATCAGCATAAATGTTGAAAAAAAAAGGAGAAGAGGCATGTTGGTGTGAGGGGAGTCATGTAAATGCTGTAAAGTAAAGTTGTTAGTCAAGTTAACATTTACTGAAACAATGCATCTGAGGAATGGCTCTGCACACTCGTGCTTACTTCCATGCTATTAATCTATTTAGTTGTTTATTGATTGATTGTGTGTTAATGGTAATTCCAATGCACCCACTGGCAGGAAAACATGACGCGTGTGAACAAGGTCACAGCAGACAAGGAACATTTTCATGGATCCCCAAGCAAAAAATATATATACTTACCATTATAAAAACATAAAAAGAAAACATTTATATTTGGTATTTACATCATATGGTTGACATATTTGTAAATCTTAATGCATTCTTGGAATTATATGTTGATGTTAAAATGTAGCTTCAATGTGTCTTCAAAGGTAAATATCTCCAAAATGTAATATAGTTACTTAAAAGCTACACTATATGCTGTTTAACATAGTTAAATAAATTTTACATTTTTAAATTTGTGTGATGTGATCACACTCACTGTAATAACTTATAAAGTTGAGAAAAATAATTATTTTGATTGAGCTGTTTGTTTCTGTGTTCATGCTGAAACAAGAACCTGCTTACTCTTATGACTTTCCCTCTTTGTGTGAAGCACGAATCACTGCTTGGTTTAATTACTCAAACACGGTCACAAGAGAGGGATATTTCCTAACTTTGGCCTATTTGGTTTTACTTGATGTTATTTATACTTTAGAAATGCTGTTCACAGCTTCCAACTCCTCAGTGTCTATGGACAAATCAGATTGTGATGTACAGCAGTGGGAAAGCAGTGGCAGTCACAGCACTATTAGGAACACTGTGTAAAAGTGTATGATCAAAGTAGCTATATTTCTATTTCATCTGCAAGTTTTTCTTTTTTATACCCACTACAGCAAAGTACCACAAGTGTAAAGTGTGTTAATATAGTAGGTATCTATATCAAACTATAATATCTGACCCAATTTTACCATACACGAATTGACTGATGTCTATTTTTTTTCTGYTTGTTTTTCATTTTATTTGCAGGATGTACCATCTGTCACCAGTGGTAGTGAAACATGTTTAGCGAAGTGACAGAACACTCAGATAAATGGATTTATGAGAAGAGTGAAYGTAGAGTTCTGGCCAGCAATTGCTTATTAACTGTTTCCTCTCATTAGCGAACACCAGTGCAGTGTCTTGTGCAGGAAAGTTGGGTGTAATAAATGTTTTCAAGGAAAGACCTGAGCTGAGAGCGCAGACAGTTGAAGACATTTATCTACACTGCTTCCTGGCTTTGCACCACTTCAAATTTCCTCTAACCTTTAATGTGCACATGTGAAAGTAGAACTTCTTGAAGAAATACAAATTGCATGCCATTGTACATGCCAACGTTTTAAACATAGTTCTTGTGTGGCTTGTTAGTGCTCAAAGCATGTGTCGGGGACAAATCTCAGCTACTACCATAGAAAGTTTAAACACAAGTTTGGTGAAAATGGCTTTATGGGAGGTTATATTCACTTTTGTGTTGGCAAAGGTCAATTACAACAGCTTTGGTGGCCATCTTGAATCCAGTTGACTTCAAAGATAATGTAGATGAAATATTTTGCTAACAGACAAACATACAGCTGCACACACAGTAGTTATGATTTGTAAATGCCGTATGAAACTAATAAAATTAATTGAAACCAAATACATCCTACACAACATCTTTTTGTTTTCCTTATTTTACCCTTTTTTAACTACTGCAAATACACTACAGCCTTCTCAGGTCCAAAAAATGTGTTTTTAAGTGCATGTTGAAAATATACCAACCTTGATAGCATTGGTAGAAATCTGGATCTCATGCAACTTCCTCATCGTGCCATCACGGTCAATGAAGTAGGATGAGGCCAGCTGATGGAGGGCTTCTACATTCTGGGTAGCGTTTGCAAGCTTTCTRTCCAGCTTGTTCTTTGCCAGGTACATAGTCAGTGCCTCCTCCCCTGCAAGTATTAAAAAGGTATTTTGATCAGCAATAGTCATTTTGCTTTTATCAGGAAAAAATTATAAGTTATCCATGTTTCAGYAGAATAAATCATTTTCATGTGTGATTGTGTACTGACCAAATAATGTAAGAGTACCTCAGATATTTTATTTGTCAAAAAAATTTAATTCAGTTTTATCTGACCTGCCAAAGAGTTCAAAACATAACGGATAAGAATGAGGAGTGAATACCGCAGCAAGCAGTTTTATCTTGAGAAACTGGATGCCCCAGTTTTCCAGGAACAGCTTCCATATTTGCTGCTTTATCCTTCACTGGCACCATCCCCAGACATGTCCCTGGATTTACTCCTATTGAGATTGCATTATTTCCAAAAGAGGTCTGGTGAGATGGATTTTTTCTTCTACAACAATWTCAAAGGAATTTTATCCTTTAGTGGACTACATAGCATACCTAGGAGTTTTTTTTTTTTTAGTCTTTGCAATTATCCCATGAGGTATTAAAACATGTACAATGCAAACATTCAACAATTTACAAGCGGACTGCATCTACTTCGTGGTAATGTAGCATTGCATTATGTGTTCATGGATTACTGTTAGTCACTGRTTTACATTCAAAGATGCATGCTAATGGTGTAATGATTGTGGAGGTCCCAACTTATGTTTTTTAAAATTTATCTCCTTACATTAGTAACAAAAAATAGCGGCGATTTAATGATACAGTATATGGACATGAAGGAAATAAACAATATAGGTTCCTACTGCATTCAGCAACATAATGTTCTTTGGTTGGGGGTGAAGTTTTGCTTCAAGTAGAGGAGTTCAAGTATCTTGAGGTAATTGTTCACGAGTGAGGGAAGAAT